CGAGTTGTACGTGTAATTATAATACTGAATATTACAGAAATAGGTGGAAATCCTTTTTCCACTGAATTTTCCCTTTCCACTGTTGTGAAATGCATAGAGATATTTTTTTCTCAAACAAAATAAAAATTCAGACACTATCAGACACTAAAACCTGTTAAACATAGAAGGAGGAAAATGCTTATAAACATGTACTATCTAAAAGTAGAATTCAATTCAAAAGAGTAAATCATATAGGTAAAATTAAAGATACAAATATAGACAGATAACCCAAGAGATAGAGATGCTAAGAGTCTTACAGTTTCACTGGACCAAATCTAGAAACCAGGGGAAATTAATATGTTCAGTGGGTAAAACATGCATATCTCTTTCTAATCCTTTGTTGTTTTGTTCTCATCATTTTAATTGGATGATTTAAGTCTGTTTATTTTGCACAGGCTCCGGGGTTTTAATCAGGCATACTATGTTAATTATCAAGAAATCCCAAGAATGACTGTCTACCACTTTGTCACAGGTATCTTCCATTTAAAAGTACCTGAATCCTCTCACGTTGGTTCTGCTATTGGAAGGATCAGAGCTGTCGACCCTGATTTTGGGAAAAATGCAGAAATTGAGTACAACATAGTTCCAGGAGATGGAGGAAACTTATTTGACATCACAACAGATGAGAACACCCAGGAAGGAGTCATCAAGCTGAAAAAGGTATGTGGCACCGATGGGGTGTATGTACCTATGGCTCAAGTGAGAAACTAGGTAAGCGAATTAAATATTGTGCAATTATGCCTCATAAGTAACACACAGTAGTTTGTATCTTCATTACAATCTGTGGTTGTCGTCTTAGTCTTAAACAAAATTGGAGTTTAGCGTTTCACTTCATAGCAGGTATGACTTTTCACAAATAATATCAGTTTTTAATGGTAGAAAAGCAATTCTTATTTCTGTCTAGAAAGTATAATTTCTCTTTTATGTGACATTTTCCACCTAAAACCATAGGAAAAATGCTCCAGTTTGGAGCATGGAACGAAAGAGTTATATTTTATGTTCAAGATAATATATTTCATTTTCACTCGTAAGCATTTTATTTTGAAAATTTTGATTTCATGTTTGTTATTTTGATAATGAAGCTGTTGTACAGTACTGTGGTGAACAGAGTTTTTACTCAGGGTAGAAGAGTCCCAAATGGTTGCAAATCAACATGTCCTACTTCCAGTCTCCTAATAGTGTCCCAAATAGCTAGTTAGCAGATATTCAGGCAAGGGAGCGCACTGCATCTCAGCTGTTGATGTTGCTTTAGCATACTAGAATAAATTCAAGATTACTGAATTTATGAATTTTGAAGATGGAAAGGTTAAGTGTTATTTGGAGTTTAGTGATTAAAGGATTAGGTAGGAGAGATGCAAAACAGGGACAGTCACATTCTAACCAATGGTTGCCTTCTGAACCAGGGCACGTACATCTACACCAATGATCAGCTGGTTTTGCAGAAAGAAATCTGAACCACCAGCTCATTTTGAAAGGCCAGGGTATATTCTATAGGTAGCTCGTGCTTGTAGGTGTAATTTTGTAACATAAACACATCTATGAGCTGATAGGATCTGGGAAGGAAAGATTTCTGGACATGTGTATTAAGACAAGATTTAGGCAAAGAGAAGCTTTAGGTCAAATAAAATTTAGAATGTAGGTACTTAAATTTCCGCCGGCTCTGACCATGGATCTATATTTGCATTATACTCATTCTAACAATGAAATTCCTGGCTTCAGCCTCTTGACCTGCAAAATAGTAAATTATCCATGGGTGCATTAAAGGACCAGATGATGTCAAATCACTTACTTTTCTGCTAGTTTTAGTGACATAAAATGGAAGCTACGATACCCACACAAAGTACTTTGTCAAAGAGACACAAACTCTTTACACTGTTCACACACCCCCTTCTTTTCTGACTAAAAATTTGAACGCATTGCTTCCTCCTTATGTGAACTTGTAAAATTTGTTTAATTTTTAAAAATCATTCTGGTCACCTTTTTCCCTCTATGCAGATCACTCAAAAATAGCTCTCTCTGGAGCTGTCGGGCTGAGCAGCTGCACGCCCCTCCGTACGCACTGCCAGTCGCAAATGGCAATGAGTGGGAACCATTGAAAAAACGAATGTTTGAGTATCAAGAGCAGTGTTTTGATAGGATTCAGTTCTCCCTGGATTAGTCCTAAGCCTCAGCTGTGCTGCTTGTATTTTACACAGCAATGGAATTTTTCCATACTTACGGTTAAGTACGTATATATTTGACTGTATAGGCAAACCATTCAAATTGGCAATGCTGATTCAAATAGCATGCATATAATATTTCTTACTGATGAAGAGCATCCATATATGAATTTGCCTAATACATTTATCTCAGAACCAGCAAAAGCAAAATGCCTGGCCACTTTTGAGACTGCTATATGAGGAATTATATAATATGCAATTTAACCTCTAATAAAAAAAAAAGGGAGGGGACACAATTAATTCCTTATCCAGATACTTTAGAGTTGATCATTGTATTTCATGTCATTTATTTAGCCTTCTCAGTAACAGGATACGGCATATCTGAAATTTTAGGGCACTTCAACAGAACATCGGTTGATGCTGCCTAATGTAAATGATAGATCTCTGTCACTGAACAGGAGGGCAAAAAATATAATCCTAATCCCTTCTTAATCTTCTTCATCACAGTGAGCCTGGGGACAGTGGCAGGCTGTGAAGGTCAGGGAATGCCAATTTTGTTGTATGCAGGAGCGTGGAAAGAAGATAAACCCAAAACACAGGTCCTCCAGCAAAGAATGCCTTTGTACAGACCCTGCCCATTGCCCTTCAGAAAACTTTCCTCGGTGGGAAGGACCCATTCACTAAGCTTTAAATGATGCAAGTGCTTTCAGACATTTTGGAATCATGCAAACCCTATCTGCTTAAGTTCCTTGCTGGATCCCAGGTTAAACAAGAGCAATCTGGATTCTTAAAGATGCTGTTAACTCGGTTGTCTTTTCAGATCCACTACACTTATAATAATATAAATGTGTTTTTATGAGTTACTGTTTTCAGATTTTCAGAAGTTCTGGACATTCACAATTCTGTAGACACCTATTAAAAAGCGTGCTACCTGTACAAGCCTGCAACGGCACTATTCATTTGCCTGCACAGAAGCAATTTCACATTGCATGGTATTCAAAACACTGATTTGTTCTTGTGGGATTACTCAAATATTTAAGTTATATATGTATATCAGTCCTCCTTTAAATCAAAGCTAGAGAATGAATAGGACCAAACTTTCAATTATGAATTATAAATAATAAACAAAGCCACAACTAAAAAGTGCCATGTGCTCCAAAACACGTTTGCACTTTTTCCTGTATCATAGCTGTACGTGCTGCCGTAATTCTGCGCTGAGCCATTTCAAAACCAGTTATAAAATTTGCTTTTATTTTTCCTGAAAAAATTCTTGCAACCAAAAACTGTCAGTCACTGCAGAGATGCTTTTTTTTGCTCTGTTGTTATGCAAAAACACATGGAGACATTTCTGTATCAAAACTGAGAAAAAAATGAAGCCTTCTTAGACTACGTTTATTTTTTGTGGAAAATACCTTTGATGATAAAACATTGCACAAGCCAAACTGTTCTTTTCAGCATGCTAAGTGCATTGGCAGAGGCAAAAGGTCATTCTCTGCTTCTCAGACACTACATGCGCACAAACAGCTACAGTTGGACAAGGTGTTCATCTTAAATCATCTGTTTTGGTTGATAATTTATTTTTGTTCTATGATCCAATATAAGCTTGATGACTACTACTCTTGTGCTGTTTACATATATTAAAAATGGAATAGCTTTTCTTATACTTTGCTAAAGAAATGATCCAAATGCCATTTAGCACCACTGTGTGGTTAGTACTGTAATAGCTTCCTCTCTCTCTCACAAAAAAAAAAAAAAAAAAAAAAAAGGAAACCACTATCAGTAAAAAGAGGGGAAAATGGCTGGCTTTAGGATAGTGCTGCATACAGTTGTCTATAAGAGTAAGAAATATTACTATATTAGGAATAGAATGACCATTTTCTTCCCTTGTTTGGTGCTATTTAATACAGTGTTTGTTGGGTTGTATATTTATATAGCATCCGTCATCCTACCTGAATGCTTCAGCAAACTACAGTGAGTGTCAGCTACAAGAAGCAGGGTGACAGAAGGGACCATCTCCTTCGTACCAGAGTGTAGTGGCCTCAGGTGGGGCACAGAGTAGTGCTCCAGGTATGGAGGGAAAATGTGTCAGCTCCAGGCAAGCTCCTGATTTTATTGAAACTGATATGAAATCTTTAATGACCACACCCAACAAAAAAGGAAAACAGAAGGGTCTAAGCTTCACTGAACAGCTGGCACTAAATTTATTAAGCTAAGGATGAGTTTATAGGATAAGCCCATTGTGTGTGCAGAAGCCTCTTGATTGGCTCGGCACGAGCTAATCCAGAAATTGAGGAGGGTTCAAGCACTGAGTCTGGCTCAGACACTGTTTTACTAATTTGTGCAGAGCGTCATTAAAATCCAGGAAAAAACTGTTTCCAGGTTTCACCTGGTATGATCCTACACTGCTGCACTGCACTGGGCGAGCTTCTCCGCGTGGGTGAGTGAGAGCTCAGGGAACATCTGCATCGTATTTTCTATAAGCCATGTACCACTGCTAACTGATGAGGTGACAAAGCTGTATCCATGAAATCACGGCATGTCAGGGAGCACACAGCACTGCAGGATGAGAAGCAGTAACTGTAGTGATGATAAAATGACAGAAACTGGGGGCGGGGGGGATGAACAGACCTGGCAGCTGCAGGGAGTTATTTGGAGAGTACGCTTCCTTGTAACCTCAGGGGCCACTTTTAAAAAGCCTTTAATTGGAGTCAGCAAGTAGAAGTTTGACTGCTGAATAAGCTGAGTTGCCTTGCTCATGGGACAGCCCATGCATGTAGTGCTGGGACATTGCTGTAATGTAAGAGCAGCCTGATGGCATCTGTACGCCGCAACAGCGAGCCTGAGGCAGGCTCCTGACGTGCCTCAGCCAGAATGGCAGCGCTGCTGCTGCTTGCTGTGCTAGCAAGACCGCACCGACTGCTCACTCCACCCCTTCCTTCTCCAGGGGCAGGGAATACCCTCTGCAGGTGTGTGCATTGGCACTGTCTATAACCATAACTCAGGGGTTTGCGGGGGGGGGGGGAGGTGATGGGTC